TGGCCACCATAGCACCGAAAGGATGGGGCAGACTAGTGTGTGATTCCTGTAGGGACAGGTGCTTCTGCTGTTTTCCAAGGCACTGTGAGGAGGGCAGCAAGCTAGACTCCTAATCTCTAGTGGTCAGCTGCACCATCTCGGGTCTGCTCCGTCTTTGCCCCTTCAAGTGGGATTTACCACAGACCGGTCAGTCTGCCACTCCCTCTTGCTTTCCTGTCTTCCCTCCTGTCAAATGGGGTCCAAGCCTCATGCGTTGCGAGGAGCACAAAGGCACTGGGCAGATGATGGTTTCGGGAATATCCTGACCCTCCCCACCCCCAGCAGAAAATGTAAAATGATCTGAGTACCAGCCCACTCTTACTAAAGCCATCTTGACAATGGGAGCCCATCTGTGGAAGGTCTGCCCACTTTGATCACTAGCTCTTTGAGCTCTGTGTAACTCAGGTTAGCTCAATGACCTGCTCATGAGATTTGATTTGTAATAAATGTGCTCATCATAGAGATGGGGACTTGGCGGTCACTTAAATGATGAGCTCTTAATTGTGATGAGTGAAGAGGATAAAATTCTTATTCTTAAAGCTTTATACAGTGAGAGTTCCGTGTTCACCATTGTTCTATGTCCACACTGAAACGCGTGTCTCACTTTCTGGGAGGTTCGGAGAATTGGAGCAGTCCCCGCTCAGGAGTCTCTCCTGTTCACGCTTGTTTTTCTGCCCTCCCGGTCTGCTGCTTGGTGGCGTAGTGGTTTAGAGTTGGGCTGGGGTCCGCAAGGCCAGTAGCTGCTTCACAGGAGTAAGGGCTTTCTACTCCCTGAAAGAGTTAGAGACTGGGAAGCTCCCAAGGGTCAGTGCTAGCTTGTCTACAGGGTTCCTATGAGCCAGTGTCGAAGGGACGACAGTGAGTGTGATGGATGTGGGGTTTTGTTTTGGTGCTCTGGTGGACTTTGCTGGGCAGCGCAGAGCTGGGAGATGTGGGCAGTGTTCCTGACTTATTTGTACCTTATGGCTCCACTGAGATATAGTTTACATTGTCTGCCATTGGTCCACGTACAGTTCTGTTTTAGTTTTTGAAAGCACTGAGTTTGGAGGCAGAAGACGTGCCGTGAATTAGAATTCCAAGCAGTGTGGTGACTGTCGAGCTATTTGGTCTGTGCCCCTCCCAGTTTGTCCGAACTAATTAAAGAAATCCCTCAGAAACAGTGGAGAGGAAATGAATTCTTAGTCAAGGCTTTCTAACCCCACTTGGACACAGCCATCGGGAGGGGATCGAACGCCTCTCCTCAGCCAGAAGAAGGGACTTGTGTGGTGTCAATCTGGAGATGATGTCATCTCTATCTTTGGGACATAAAAATCGGTTCATCTTGCATGAGACACACACACACACACACACACACACACACACACACGGGCACACACACGGGCACACACTCATGGGTGGACCTAGTGGCAGACTGTGGGCTCTGTCTCTTCAGATGCTCTGACCCTCGGATGCTTCTCATGTGGCGGGAGGGAGGGAATGGGAAGCTACTAACAGTGAGTCCAACAGTGAACAAAACGTTCTAAAATGGATTGTGGTGGTGACTGCAAAGTTCTTTTGAATATATTTCAAACCATTGAATTGTATGATATGTCAGTAAAATTGTTAAAGAAAATTTGTACACAGCCCCCAGTTGGCGAACAAATTCTTTTTTTTTCCTTTTAGATTTTATTTTTTTTAATTTAAATTTTTCCAGTTTCATTCACCAATAATTTACTTATTATATTATTCAATAGTTAAACCATTGGGTGATATCACTGAGGATTGTACAATCGCCCCCACATCAATTTTAGAGCATTTCCCTCTCCCATGGTCAACTAAACCTCTAAGATGATTCATGCAATCACTAGCTGTTCTAGTGCTCTCCCCTCCCGTCTTCATTCGTTACTCCCGAAGTCCCCGTACCCTCCCTGTCTTCCACCCCCACCCCTCCCACCCCTGTATTCCCTAAATCCCCTTGTATCCGTTATTACCATTATGCCTCCACTCCTCCTGTGCTTCACAGCTGGGAGACCAAACAGAAAACAATAAAAACCAGATTGCACTAAGATGGTAAAGGTGAAAACATAATAGTATACAGACAAAAAGACAAGTCTTTGCATAAGAAGGCAAAGAGGACTCCCTCCCCCAAACAATAATAAAAAAGCCAGAGTCTGTCATGGGTCTAGTAAGAAATACTTGCACCAGAACAGATTCAGGTCGCGTCTGTAGTAGGGTGGTGGTCAGCTGTCAGGTGTCAGTTTGGATCCGGCATCATCAAGATTACAATGGTCCCTGATAGCGAGGCTGGTCGCGACGTCCCTGAGGCTAGAGTGGATCTGCCCGCGGCTCAGTCTGGCCACATGCTCTGCAGATGGTGTCCCTCAAAGCCCTTCACACTGGGTGCTCTGGTGCTTTTCTCCTCACCATATTCGAGTTTTGTGATGGCATCATTGGACCACACAGGCTGGGGTGCTTCTTCCATGTGGACTTAGTTGACTCCTCGCTTAGATGGCTGCTTGTTTGAATACAAGCCTTTAAGACCCCAGACACTGTTCCGATGGACGGCCAGGCACCAGCGGCAGCACCCTTGTCTTCAGTGACCACTTCATGAAGGTGAGTATGGAGCAGGGCTGTGATGTAAGAACTAATTGTTCTTAAGTTGGAGCTGGGATTTAGTGTGAGCCCCAAACCCATTCCTGGATTTATGCCCCCCACCCCCCCAATTTGCTGTAACTTGGGAGCCAATACATATGTCATATCCTTCCATAATTCAAACACGTGAAACATAATTGTGAAAAAATTCCATTTCTAACTCCGCCTTCAAGCCCAGAAGTAGCATAGTTAGACAAATATGTATGGGTAGTGTCTTAATACAGACATTGTACTTAATATAATAGCCTTTTTCTGAGGTGGATTGTGGCTGTAGGGCTGTTAGCATTGGGGACCCAGGCTGCCTACAGTTTACACACTAAAGCCGAAGACGGGGAGGTATATGCAGCCTTGCACTGATGGGAAGCGGCGACCAACCACCACTGGAACGAGTGAGAAGAAGCTTGCAGGGGGCGGTTGGGGCGCTGCGCAGGCTGATGGAGGAGCCCTTGCCTTGTTCAGACTGTCCCCCGCCGC